AGCAATCAGAAGCAAATATTTGAAACTTCACATTTAATAAAACTTGCATTTAAATGCACATATGCACACATGCTATCAACAGACCATAGACGACTACTCTTACTATATACTTTTTTTAACTTTGTCAATTTAATACAGAGAATATTCAGGTTTATTTTTGAAGACAAGGGAAAGTGGAAGTTCATGCAATCTTAACAGTACGTTGCACCGCAAACACACATTACACACTTTTTAGAACCAAACCCATACCTGAAATATCAAAGCTGGATCAATACATAAAGATGGCTCTTTCTGCAAGTAAGGTAAACCACAAATATTTTCATTTACTTTACAGCTTACCATTTCTAAAGACTTCTAAATTCTTGTTGCTATATTTCAGGATGGTCAATACCCTACACTTAGAATGAGCTTTATGCCGTATCTGTAGGCAACTCATTTCTGATTTTCTCTCTTAAGTAATATCACTGGTTTAAGCCCAGAAGTGTCTGAACAAGATCAGAGAATCATAGAATGGTTTGGGTTGGAAGAGCCCTTTGAAGATCATCTATTCTAACCCCTCTGCCATGGGCAGGGACATCTTTCACTAGATCAGGTTGCTCAAAGTCCCATCTAAACTGATGTGGAATACTTCCAGGGACGGGGCATCCACACCCTCTCTAGGCAACCTGTTCCAGTATTTCACCACCCTCATCATAAAAAATTTCTTCCTTATGTCCAACCTAAATCTACCCTCTTTTAGTGTAAAACCATTACCCCTTGTCCCATCACAACAGACCCTACTAAAAGGTTTGTCTCCATCTTTCTTATGAGCTCCCTTTAAGTACTGAAAAGCCACAAGAAAGTCTCTGAGGACCCTTCTCTTCTCCAGGATAAACCACCCCAACTCTCTCAGCCTCTCCTCACAGGAGAGGTGCTCCAGCCCTCTGATCATTTTTGTGGCCCTCCTCTGGACCTGCTCCAACAGGTCCATGTTTTTCTTCTGTTGGGGACCCCAGAACAGAATGCAGTATTCCAGGTGGGGCCTCACAAGAGATGAGCCATTTTTTACCTGATTCATGTGCTCAGGAGTACTTCTTATTGAAAGAATGAAATGTAAAGTGTGTTTCCTTTTACTCTTTTTTATTCTATTAATCAGTGTTAATCAACTTTGGATATCACTAATATTCAGATATCAGTGATATGGCATTTGTCAGCACACAATATGCAAAGAAGTATGCATGGGTGCAATTGCAATTAAAGGAAAGGACCCCAATGTACCAACTTTATTCTACACTTAAACAAAGATTTAGGCATGAGGAAAAAATGCTGTTTGATTACATATATCTGTACTCACAAAGTCAGAAGCAACCATTGCAACAAAACTAGACTGGCTTCCTGTATAACACAAGTCATAAAATTACATGAATACTGTTAAATATACACACCATATTTTAGTGTGCATTTGCTACCTCTAGCTTCCACACACTGTATTTTACAATATATTTATTTTCATTACTGGAGAGGATCTTTTCTTTTTTTTTTAATGAAGATATCTCAGGTAGGTATCTACAGACTGTAATCTCTTTGTTCTGTCATTTCCTATTTGTTAAACCACACAAAATTAAGCTTGTAAAGTCATTCATTGTTTGGTAATATTTTTAAACATTCAGGTGGGTCTTCTCTGAGCACAATAAGCTCCATTATGTAACTTGCTGTTTTGAGCAGATGTGCACTTCAAAACTTTTACCCCTTTACTAAACCCAGAATACAGATAGCAGATCTAATACACCTCACTTTCTAGAGAATGGATCTCAGAGAAAACCCTGGTGGAGGGCTGGAGGAACAAAACAAAACAATCTCTTGAAAGCAAGGTGTACAGTGTGATTAAGCAAGTCTCAAAAAAACAGGAGCTTGAGGGAGTTAACAGGAGCTTGTGGGAAAAGGAGGTATACTGCCCTCCTGTCCTGTGACTCTGCTTTCCAGAACAAAGAAAGACTTTGGAGAAGGTCTGTTGCAGACAAGGGAACAAAGAGAAAAGAATGTAAGGGAAAAGAAGAAGCAAAAGACCTGGGACTTTTGGAAGCAAACGTGTCTAAGAAGCAAAACCAGAAAGTTAGGAAAGAAAGGCCTGTGCAATGCATATGAAAAGACAATAGATATCTGAAAAGGGACAAATAAAGCAATAGAAACAAGAGTCAAGACATAGGATGTGAATTTTCTATCTTTTTTGTTTGCCCCCTTTTCTTTTTATATAAGTATACAGAAGATAAAACACCGGTCAAGGAGAAAACAGTTATGCAGAAAATACAATTGCTATAAGAAAAGGCAACTACTTGCAAAGTTTTCAGACTGAAATGAAGAGCATGACAGGACAGCACAGAAGAAAAGCTGTTTAGGACAAAAAAAATTCACATAGAAGATGAAAGGTAGGAGCAATGGGTATACTTCATTGGATGAAAGGGAAGACTGACTGGGAAAAGGGACAGAAATCATTCAGCAGTGGCAAGGGACAGAAGAAAACCACAGGAAAGAATAGAGGGATTTACGAAGGAGGGAAAGCTGTCTCCTAGCAGAGCCTAGGAGAGCCATGGAGGGGACTCAGAAAAAAGCTAATGTCACAAGGGGGTGGAAGGGGTTGGGTGTGGTAAAGAGAAATGTATACTGCTTGGAGCCTCTGCATGGGGGAGTGCATGGCCTCAGACTGCCATATTACAGGGTAATCCTCTCCCTCCTTCCACCCTCAACACTGTAGGGAAATTATTGCTTCAATGCTTGATCATTCAAAACAAATGTTCCACATTTTTTTTTCAAAACAAATGCTGTCTGGATTAAGACAATTTAAATTTACTTGAAAACATTCCAAAGCTGGAACTTGTAATGAAAACTGCTGTTTAATCATGTGGATTTCAACATCTTACATTTGTCCCTTTTTCTTTTCAATATTAGGCCTATTTTAAACAGGGCAACCCCAAAGCAGTGTGTATTCATAGGGAAAGAAAGAACTATGTGCCTCAGAGCCAAAAGGCAGCTCTGCATCAGAACACTCCAGCAACACAATTACAGCCTCACCCATGACAAATGAAAGCCCTCACTACAAAGATCAGATTTGTGAAAAGTGGAACATCATACCACACCCAACTTCCCTGGGAGACAAACAGGAAAGACTTTACTGTCTTCAGGGACAGACACTGTCAAGAATGGCTGCAACCACAGTCACGTGTGTCATTCTTGTGTCATGTCCCACCTCCATTCTTTTCAGTACAGGAAGAGGAATTACAAATTATTTTGCAGCAAAACCTTTACAGTGTTAATAACCCACGTGGAAGACCATAAATCATTCTAACACACTATCTCTGTATCTCAAAACATTTGGATTTATAATTCTGAATATTAATAGAAAGAAACAAGTTTCTCAGCCAGTATCCTACTTTCCCATATACTTAGGGTAACAAGTTACTGCAAAACCACACATTTTAGATTTCATACATAGACTTCTGAACTAGAATAAACAGGGAAGGTCCAAGGCAATACCCATCAGATGATGGAATAGTGAAATCGATGTACCTTCTTTGTTACTCATATAATCCAAACTAATTATTATCTATTAAAAGGCAGATACTCTATTTATAAAGTCCTGCTGTTGTTGTAACTGTGTATTTACCACAATGTTCAGACATGCTGAACTCATTTGCTCATAACAGAAGTCACTGGCAAAATGAGGCCTTTAATTTGCACTTCCTTTTAAGACTGAAATGAAAGACCATCATTAATGTATTTCAGGCAGCATTGCCAACTCACAAATTATGTCAAGTCTCATGGTATTTTTCTTAAAGATGTACATTCCAGACTCAGAATTATGCAAAAATTGCAGTTTTCACTTTTTAAACTATTATTATCTTTTGTTATTGTGGGGGGGGAAGGCCACAACACTTTAGTAATATTATATATCAAAAAGAGGAAACTATATTCAGGACTAAGATAGGAGTTTCATCACATTTTGTCATATCTCTCTGCTGATGCAATGAGTATTTTCCTTAGTTTAGATGTAAAATGATGACCAAATAACCACCAAGAGAAGTATTGTTTTTAAAGATCAAAAAGAAAAACATTCTACATAAGCCTTGGACAGTTTGTATTTGTTTCTGTTTTTCAGTTTATTCCGTCTACTTTGGCTCACCTGAAACTTCTCTTCCCAAGCCCCCGAGTCTCTTTAAAAAGCAATACTCAGTTCTCATTAATCAGCAATGCTGCACTTGATTTGTTTAATCAAGTCTTATTAAGAAAACAGACTGGGAGAAAGAAATACTAGTTATTCCTAGCTTCACAGCAAAATAAACTGACAAGTAAAAGGAAGCATTTAATGATTTAATAGTAGAAGTTATAAATTGAGGTGTTGTGGGTTACCCCTGGTAAGCAGCTACATGTCACACAGCTGCTCATTCACTCCCCTTCAGTGGGATGGAGAAGAGAATCAGAAGGGCAAAAGTGAGAAAACTCATGGGTCAAGATAAAGCCAGTTTAATATGTAAAGCAAAGCTGTGCATGCAAGCAAAGCAAATTATGGAATTCATTCACTATTTCCCATCAGCAGGCAGATGCTTAGCTATTTCCAGGAAAGCGGGGCTTCATCACGCGTAACAGTTACTTGGGAAGACAAATGCTGTAATTCTGAATGTCATCCCCTCATTTTTATTGCTGAGCATGACATTATATGGTATGGAATATCCCTTTGGTCAACTCAGGTCAGCTGTCCCAGCCGCGTTCCCTCCCAGCCTTACGTCTACCCCCAACCTACTTGCTGGGAGGGAGCAGAGTGAGAAACTGAAAAAGCTTTCACTCTGTGTAAGCACTGTTCAGCAACAGCTAAAACATCAGCGCGTTATCAACACTGTTTTGGCCCCAAATTCAAAACATAGCACCATGCAAGCTGCTATGAGGAAAATTAACTCCATCCCAGCCATACCAAGTACACGAGTTCATGCTACAAAAATAAGGTATGGGAAAACATGCGAAGACCATACCTTCATTTCAATAACTGTTTGAAGAGCCTTCGTCTTTGCTGGCTCAGGCTGAAGTTGGGTTCTTCTATGTAATTCCTGTGGAGGGACACGATAGAAATAAGCCTGACGACTCATCTTTCCATTTTTTTAATCACTCATACGAAACTCATACGAATTTAGTACAACAAAATAAAAGTCCGATGATTAGAAGCATGTAACTCCAAATGCTACAGGTGCTTCCCTCTCTATAATCCCTCTAGCATCACCGCAGTCCCTATCTTATATTACAGCCAACTCTAACAGCACATGCGCTATTTCTGAAACCTCTATCAATAATTAATGTCAACGGTGACAAAGCCAGCAAGTAATTTCTTAGTCCAAATACAATGCTGCTGTTTCTGCCTAAACATCAAAATTTAATAAATTCAGTGGTGTTACTAATTTAAACACTGTTTAAAGTCATTTAAAATCTTTTACTATAGTTTCTTCTTAGTTTTTGTTCTAATATCTGAAATAAGCAATTTAAAGACATTATATTTAAATTTGACATTTTAAGGATAATAATTATAAAGTGGGTTGATGCAGCACCCTCTACAAAAGCAATTACATTTCAGTTTTCATATTTTCATACTATTTTTTATGTATCTTAATCCACAGGTAAAAGGAAAATAGATTGCATTAGTTAAGACATACAGTTAACAGAATTAACATCTACTGGTCTTTATAAAAAAAAGAGTATGAAGACAGCAGCATTTGATCTCTTATAAAACACAGGAGTTGTATCTTGGCATGAGATATCTCAATAAAAAACTCACATACCTACATCGAACACTGTAAAGCTGTAATGGAACATCATCATTTAAGAATTTGGTGGTGCTTATACCCCTCCCACAAACCATCTGAGCAGTTTATTAGAAAACAAAACTGAAACAGGATGGAAACAAAAAACAAGACTGAAATAGTCCTGTTTCTAGTCCTTTAGAGTCCTTCCCCTCTAAAGGACAGGACTGCCATGGTAGATGTCTTTCTCTCCCTGTTCTTTTTACCCCAGTGCTCCACATACACACTTGAACTAGCTTTATAACCATGAAAAATACATTTATGCCTGGTAGGCTGAGAAGCTAGGTTCATTCACCACAAAGACATTAGCTGACTCCAGAACCTGAGCTATTGTGTCTTCCAAATTATGCCTCTCCCAGCTCATCTTCATAAATTCTGGGAGGCAGGATCATCAAAAAAACATAACACTGTGGGTCCTAATTATTTTTATTCCCATCTTTCAAATCCCCTTTTCTTGAGCAAAGCAAACAAAGTACAACTTGACAATGAATTGATAGACTAACAATCAAAAACATAATCAGCTATGGATTGTGCACATTTCTTATCCTGCTCCCCCTCACCCTATCCTAGCACATCTCTGGGTCTTGCCTACCTTATAACCTACAAACTTAAAAGTCATAATTTTTTGTATCACGAACTATTAATCAGTTTCTTGTTCTGTTTAGCAACAAGCATACTGCTTATCAATGACTTTGAGAAACAATCACTCTTTAAAGGCTAAGTAGTAGGAGTGATTTGGGGCATGTTGTTAAATTCTACTGATAATAAACATGCTTATAAAATACATTAAAAAAATGGTGTGGCCTAACATATTAAAATAAATGAAAGAGACGAGTTAGTCGTGTGTGCTCCATTTAATTGAACATAGATTACTTAACTTGAAATGTAGTATATGACAGGACATAATATCAAGACACCCATCACTGAAATTGTCAGGTTTGGCATGTATTTTTGGTTAAAATAAAAGAAGCTGTCCATAGGTAACAGAAAAATTTTATGTATACAGAAATAGATCAATACTTATGATCTGTTGGATGACAGTTAAGTAGCCAAGTTACAGTCAAATAGCTGGTAAATTAAGACCATTTAGATCATATCAGTTTGATCTCATTTTTCATTTTCTCATGTTTGTACCATAGCTAACAATGGTACCTTAGTCAATGACTGAACCTCTTGGGAACCCTGGCAATGTAAAGAAGAAAGAGTTGGGTATGCTCTGTCCTGCCTATTCTATTTTGACTGCTCTGCTGTTTCCATAGAAGGGAGCACAAAACATAACAGTTAGATAAACTGTTAAATTCAATTCTGACCCAAAAAAGCCTATTGATATCTTGATAAATCACAGCACTGCCTGGAAGAGTCAGATTAGGTGCCAGTGTCTGAATGCATACCTAAAGTTAAGTAGGTCTGCATGCTTTTTTATTACATTAAATATATTGCAGATATATGTATGTATATTTAAACTACTTCTAATATATGACAACAGTGAACTTCTAATTTTGCACTGGGCATTTATGAAAAAGTACATCTGAATGGTCCTTTTTCCTTGTTTTTTTAATATACAACTAACTCTCCACATTATAAAAAGAAAGAAATCTTTGCAAATCACCTATACAGGGAATTTCTCAATCACCACCAGCTGTTTGTCTCAGATGAAACAAGTACCTTCTCTACACAAATGTTTTAAAAAATAAGAGTATGTCATAGATTTGTCATACAGTTCTCCTACAGAAGTCATGGAAAAATAGTTGGCCGGTCATACCACTATCTGATCAGCAAAAATTACAGCTAATTCTAAGACCAGACTTTGCTCCCCAAGGCCACATAAACTGAGTTGGAATATAAACAGGATTCCACACATTACCCAGGGAGACAAACCAGAGTTTCCACCCCCTTAGCCAAAGATGAATAGACTGCCAAAGATGAGTATTCCTAGATGTCTATCATAGCATGAAGCCTTGCCTCATAATACTTTTCCTGTTTGCTTTATGAATCAATCTGATGCTGGCTGACTTAAAAGCTTTTCTTCTCTATCCCTGATGGTAAAATGAAGCAGACTTTAGGATTCTGGAGAAGATCAGAAAATGACTCCCACTTTATTATTTTGTGTGGGTTTTCTTCCAATCAGATTCAAATGTTTGGAGACTCCCAAAAGGCTCAGTTCTTGAATTTATGTTGTTCTATGTATGCATTTTTTCTTTTGGGGTACCTGATTCAGGGATATACTTTTGGGGTACTGATTCAAGGATACAACCACTTTATGTGCATGATACCTTATACTGATTGGTTTACTCTCTGACATCATCTGGAGGGCTTCAAATTTGCCTAACAGCTAACCAAGAGATATTCTGAACATTTCATGAAGTCCTTTATAGCCTAAGGAAACCAAATTTTATCCATTACATCATTTTTTGAACGATGCTGCTTTGTCTTTTTAATTGCTTGTAATAAAAAGCCCAGGGAGCCTAATAAAAAACTTTAAAAACAAACAAACAAACACCACAAACAAACACCAAAACATCAGGGATAGTTTCTTTCAACCTGAACTGTATTAAATGGAAATCTTGATCATTATATCCATCATAAAGTACTTGTGCCATCATCTCTGCAACCATCAAGATCTATACTAATAGTGTCTCAGAGATGTACTCATTTATGAAATTACACTTTCATTATATCCCTCATATGACAACTGTATCACTGCAATTGGTAGCAGTTCTCAGTAACCACTTTGCACATACAAATTAATTATAATTCTGCATAATCAGATGCCCACACCTGGGATTTCATGATGATACTTAATTGTTAAGGTGATTAACACACCCACACAAAATTGACAGGTAATCAGACCTTTTTTTTCACATTAAATTTACTCTAATATTCTTTGCTTTTAGACCAAAATGAGTCTTAAACCAAAGCTGGCCATTGCTTTCTCCTTCCACGTGTTTCTGGGATATTAGATTAGTATCTTGTGTTGGCCTCAAAAGTAACTTCAGCACACTATTTCACCACCAATTTAAATATCAAAAAATCCCAAGAGGACACAGTTTATATCATATACTTCCTAAAATAATGGTGGAAGATGAGTCCTGTTCTTTTGTTCAGAAATCGATAAAAAGACCTTACAAGTTTTTATCATTATTGACTGGTATTCAAAATCCACACTACATAGCACAGTCTGAACGTAATACTAATTAACACCCAAAACTGCCTTTTGATCCCAGCTTTATTATAAGACACTTCATCATTTGGCTGTAGGAAAGCCAGGGTGCTGCAAAATGATCCTCCTTTTATTCTGTTTCTGATGTATTTTATTAAGGTTCCTAAGATATCGGTGACTATGTGTTGTTCTGATTAGATCAGACTGAGCTGAAACTTAAATAAAAGGCTATACCAATGCTGTTAAATGCAGTTCAGGGTTTTAGCTTCTATTTACATATAACTGCCTAAAACAGCATGACAAAGTGCTAGAAAGAAAAGGACTTTTTCTGAAGAAAATAGGCAATTTAGAGATGGTATCATGAAACTGCCAGTAAGTGCCTGCATTTCAACTGGTAAGCTTCTACTGATTAAAGAACAGAAGGAAAATGGAAAACCAGAAGACTTTAAAAATTAACACAAAATTCAAGATTTATAAAAAATAAAGACATAATAGGAATATAGATGTCAGAATCAAATAACCATTAGAAGAAGAAAGACGGATGATTAAAGATGGCAGCAACTATACCTAAGGCAACATAAAAACAGGCATGAGAAACCATGGTGTCAGTAAATCTAGCTTCTTGTATTCCTAGGTAAAATGTATAAACCTGTAAATCACAGCAGGCAATAGTATAGGAGCTGCTAGTTCTCTCAAACACCTCAAAGCAGACTGCTTCCATTCTCCTGGAAAAGAAAGCCTTGGTATTGCTTCTACATGATCAGTTTTTCTGAACTTTAAAATTTAAATCAGCAGTATATTAATATTTCAATCAATTATTTAATTTAAGTAAAAGCACAGCCACTTACCTAAAGTGCCTAAACAGTAGCGTTTCTTCAACCAAAAATAACATTAGAACCACTGATCAAATTCTATTTAAGCACAATACTGCAAAAATGTAACATATAGGAATTAATTTATTCTTAACATATAAGCTTATCTTCTCCTTCCTGTTTTCTAACCCTTCACATCTACCCTCTGCCAAAATGGTCTCACAGTAATTTAGACAAAAGTATATTTTAGAAATCCTGATCAAACTCTTTATCTTTCTGGAAAC